AAGTGGCAGATTGGATTCCGTCTCCCGCTCAGGGGTGCCTTGTTGGAACAATGAGGGCGATGCGCCAGCAGTAGCCCTAGCATGGGAATTGCAGGGGCTACGCTTTAACCTTTGCGCCGAAACGGCCGTGTTGAGCACTTAAGTTCTCTGTTTAACCCGTGAGTGTGTGTCTGTACGTGTGTGTGAGTGTGTGTCTGTACGTGAGTGTGTGTCTGTACGTGAGTGTGTGCGTGTGTGTGTGAGTGTGTGTCTGTACTGAGTGTGTGTCTGTAAGTGAGTGTGTGTCTGTACGTGTGTGTGTGTGCGTGTGTGTGAGTGTGTGTCTGTACGTGAGTGTGTGTCTGTACGTGTGTGTGATTGTGTGTCTGTACGTGAGTGTGTGTCTGTACGTGAGTGTGTGTCTGTACGTGAGTGGTGTGTCTGTACGTGTGTGTGTGTGTGCGGTGTGTGTGTCTGTACGTGTGTGTGTGTGCGTGTGTGTGAGTGTGTGTCTGTACGTGAGTGTGTGTCTGTACGTGTGTGTGATTGTGTGTCTGTACGTGAGTGTGTGTCTGTACGTGAGTGTGTGTCTGTACGTGAGTGTGTGTCTGTACGTGTGTGTGTGTGTGCGTGTGTGTGAGTGTGTGTCTGTACGTGAGTGTGTGTCTGTGCGTGTGTGTGAGTGTGTGTCTGTACGTGAGTGTGTGTCTGTACGTGTGTGTGAGTGTGTGTCTGTACGTGAGTCTGTGTCTTACGTGAGTGTGTGTCTGTACGTGTGTGTGTGTGCGTGTGTGTGAGTGTGTGTCTGTACGTGTGTGTGTGTGATACGTGGGGAGCGGTGGTGTAGCGGTTAGCGCGCTGCGCTACGAACCTGGCGACCCGGGTTCGATTCTCGCTCACGGCCAACAACCAGTGAGGATTATCTGAACCAGTCCCGGGCCTCCCCTAGGTCGACTCAGCCTCAAATGAGTACCTGGTGCGGTGTGTAAACATCGCCACTAGGGAGACAAAGGCGGTCGGGCGTGGTGCTGGCCACCCACCCCCTCGTGTACCGTTCCGGCCTTCATAGGTGCTCGCTAACAGCACTTGCCCCTACAGTCTGTTAAGGCTATATGGGGGATCTTTATCTTTGTGTGTGATAGGTGCTACTCGCTAACACCACTTGCCCCAACAGTCTGTGCAGGCTCTACGGGGGATCTTTGTCTATGTGTGTGTGTGTCCATGTGGGGAGCGGTGGCGGAACGATTAGCGCTACGCTACGCTACGAACCCGGCGACCCGTGTTCGATTCCCACTCACGGCCACCAACACCCAGTGACGATTCTATGAACCGGTCATGGACCTCTCCTAGGTCGACTCAGCCTAAAATGAGTATCTGGTGCGGTGTGTAAACATCGCCAATTGGGGCAGACGAAAGCGGCCGGGTGTGGTGCTGGCCACCCACCCCCTCGTGTGCCGTGCCGGCCTTCATCGGTGTCACTCGCTGACAGCACTTGCCCCGACAGCCTGTCAGTGTGTGCCGTGGCACGGCCGAGGCAGTCGCCTCTCAGGGGTGCCGCCGCATCGCCGATGATGACCGCTGGATGGGTACGGTGCGAAAGAATTTCACACACGCCCCGTCAATGGCATTGACATTTGACGGGTCCATCGGTGGGATTGCTAAACCGTTTCTTTGCCTCTTTACTTTTTAGCTTCCAAATACAAATAAATAAATATCGAAGCATTTTTAGCCTCGCTCAGTTGTTGGCACGTGTGGAAACTCCCCGTTTCTATGGCCGGGGACCGGTTCATCTAGTGTATGTTCGCGTGACGTATACAGGATGGATGTATAGCCTCCTCATTGCGTGCCGGGAGTCCTTTATTCAGCGGTAGTGTAACATTTGGAAATTCCACATTCCTCTGGCATGGATGTACCCCAATATGTAGGTGAAGCGGTGTTGCCCCATCAGTGCTTAGTGAGAGGGATGATGGCCCTGATGATGATGATGGTTGTTATAATGATTGTAATTACGATGGTGCTGATTCCTGAAGTTCATGATAATGAATGATGCAGCTGTTGCCGATACTGAAGATGATCGTGGTGATTGCGATTGAAATTATAACAATGCTGCTGCTGCTGATGATGATGAGTGGTGGTGGTGATGGTGATGGTGGCAATCGATGACGATGATGATCCTCACGACGGCGAAATGTTATCTCCCTCCCTCGCCTGGTATGCAGGAGATCGTGGGTTCGATCCCGACCCTGATGCGTGCATATTTGGACTTTGCGTGTCTCTCTTTCTCCCCGTGGCAGTGTGGATTTAAGTATTAAATATTTTATTTTATTTTACCAGGTAAGGCACCACTGAGCTGTGTGGCTCTTTTTTAAAAGCGACCTGGCCACAAATGATAGCCTCAACGAAGTGGCTTATCACGTGGAGATGTCTAGCAAGCAACCAAACACTCTAAACGCGTGTTGATGTTGATTCTCAATGTGTAGGGAAAAATCGGAGGACCCGGTTCGAAACATCCACGTGACCACGGGGAGAACACACGGACGTTCGATATGCAGGCGTCAGGGTAGGGATCGAACCGACGACCTCCTGTGTACCAAGCGAGGTAGTTAACATCTCACCACCGACATTGAATCAACACGCGTTTAGAATATGATCATGATGATGATGATAAGCCCACTTCATTGAGCTATCATCTGTGATAGGCCAGGCGGCTTACCGGTCAAAAACCAAAGAGCCGTAGAACTCAGCGGGCTTTAACGCTGAAAAAAAAAACACACAACAGTGCATTAAAAAAACGAGTTCAGTTTTGACATCGTTTCACATTTCGCGTGGAACGCGGGGGAGCTGCGTTTGTGAGCGAGGTCTCTGTAAATCAATCGAGGCGTGGTGCTTCACGCCCTCGATTCATCACTCCGAGGGCGTGGAGGGTGCCCAGCACAGGAACCTCGCTGTGCTGGGGCTAGGAGCAAGCCCGGTTCATTGCGTGGTACAGCAAAGGGTGGGTGGGGGGGTGGTTGACCTTGACCTCCCGGCCAGCAACACTGATGAATGTTGACCCCTCCACCACCCACACCACTCCCTCCTCTTCCTAGCACGCGTGGAAATTCTCCGGGTTAACCAACTCCCTCCCTCCCTGCCTCCCCCAGCACGCAGCGCTTTGCTCAATCCACTGCTGGATGAAGAGCTCCCAGTTCCATGTTGATGATGATGGGGGTGTGGGGGGGTGGCGGGGGGGGTGCATTTGTGAGATCATACTTCACCACGATTGGGGTAGAGCGTTGTTGGTGCAGTGGAACGCTCGCTGCCCTATGACCCCGGTGACCCGAGTTGGACTCCCAATCACGGCCAACACCGGTGACGACCAATATCGCCCCACCACGACCACTCCAGCAGCCCGCACTGACCAGAATGGTAAAGTATGGTCGAACAAACAACGTGCCTGACATGGCGTTGGGAGATCTACATCCAGCAAGGGGATTTACACTTATTTTGTTTTTGAAATCACAGTTTTAATTGTCATTATTGTTCGTCGTTAATATCTCATTCACAATCAACGTTTTTGGGTGTTGGATCGCGTTATTTATAAATGCGTCGTAACCCTCCACCACCCGACACGGCCAATCGGCAAAAAGTGTCACGTTGACAAAAGACAAAATAGTTCACTGCTTTAGCCCCACCGGTGTGTTGAAGCGTGAAACCACAACATTTACAATTTTTGAGTAGCACGACGTTTCGCTGGTAATTACATCCAGCATCATCGGGCAATTCGTGAACCACCGCACCGCTCGTCAGCCTCGTTACCGTTCGAGCGCGCTGACCGCTGCACCACCGCTCCTCTCACAATCGCATGCCATCTGTGTCATTTAACTTCATCGGAATGGGGTGGAGGGGGGGGGAAAGCAACGTTTGAGCAGCAGCATCACGATCACGATCACCGTCAATCACGGGGGCCGCACGCAATCGTGTGGGTAAACTCAACCGTGGCGCTAAACACACAGCAATACGACCGCACGCGCGCGCTCAGTGAATGAATGAAGACATTCCCCATGAGCACAATGCACAGCACCGGGTGTGGAGGGGGGGGGGGTGCAGAGAGAGAGGGGGGGGGTCGCGACGATGATTGGACCTCGCTCCGAGTGCCCTCTGGGCTCACAGCGCTGCGGGTTACACGTCGCGCCGCGCACACAATGCCCCCCTCTGTCCGTCAGGCTGATTGTCGGTGCGTCTGTCTGTCTGTCTGCTCAGTCTGTGTGTCTGTGTTCCGTCCGCTAGCCTGTCTGTGCGTCTCTGTCTCTGCCTCAGACTGTCCTGTCTGTCCGACCACCACTCAGTCTGTCCGTCTGTGTGTCAATCTGTCTGTCTGTCCATCAGTCAGTCTGTCCGTCTGTGTGTCAATCTGTATGTCTGTCCATCAGTCAGTCTGTCCGTCTGTGTGTCAATCTGTCTGTCTGTCCATCAGTCAGTCTGTCCGTTTGTGTGTAAATCTGTCTGTCTGTCCACCACTCAGTCTGTCCGTCTGTGTGTCAATCCGTCTGTCCCACCATCAGTCAGTCTGTCCGTCTGTGTGTCAATCTGTCTGTCCCACCATCAGTCAGTCTGTTCGTCTGTGTGTCAATCCGTCTGTCCCACCATCAGTCAGTCTGTCCGTCTGTGTGTCAATCTGTCTGTCCCACCATCAGTCAGTCTGTTCGTCTGTGTATCAATCCGTCTGTCCCACCATCAGTCAGTCTGTTCGTCTGTGTGTCAATCTGTCTGTCCCACCATCAGTCAGTCTGTTCGTCTGTGTGTCAATCTGTCTGTCTGTCCACCACTCAGTCTGTCCGTCTGTGTGTCAATCTGTTTGTCTGTCCACCACTCAGTCTGTCCGTCTGTGTGTCAATCTGTCTGTCCCACCATCAGTCAGTCTGTTCGTCTGTGTGTCAATCTGTCTGTCCCACCATCAGTCAGTCTGTTCGTCTGTGTGTCAATCTGTCTGTCCCACCATCAGTCAGTCTGTCCGTCTGTGTGTCAATCTGTCTGTCTGTCCACCACTCAGTCTGTTCGTCTGTGTGTCAATCTGTTTGTCTGTCCACCACTCAGTCTGTCCGTCTGTGTGTCAATCCGTCTGTCTGTCCACCACTTAGTCTGTCCGTCTGTGTGTCATTTTTTACGTCTGTCTGCCTATCACTCAGTCTGCCCGCCTACACACCCCATGTGTCGGTTTCTCCGTCCACTACTCAGTCTGTCCGTCTGTGTGTCAATCTGTCTGTCTATCCACTACTCAGTCTGTCCGTCTGCGCATGCATCTGTCTCTCCGTCCATCACTCAGCGTGGTGCTGGCCACCCACGCCCTCTTGCCCCAACAGTCTGTTGAGGCTACATGGGGGATCTTTGTCTCTGTGAGCAGCGTGGAACAGACATCGTCACGTCCACAACGGTGTCCAATCACCGCACTGCAGGTCACGCATCTCGCTCATTCACCCGCCCACCCACTCACCCGGTCACTCATTCACTCACCCACCCCGCTCGCCCAATCGTTCGCTCACTCATTCATACGCCCACTCACTCACCCAGTCACTCATTCACTCACCTACCCCGCTCGCCCAATCGTTCGCGCACTCATTCACCCACCCACTCACTCACCCGGTCACTCATTCACTCACCTACCCCGCTCACCCAATCGTTCGCGCACTCATTCACTCGCCCACTCACTCACCCAGTCACTCATTCACTCACCTATCCCGCTCGCCCAATCGTTCGCTCACTCATTCACTCGCCCACTCACTCACCCAGTCACTCATTCACTCACCCACCCCGCTCACCCAATCGTTCGCGCACTCATTCACTCGCCCACTCACTCACCCAGTCACTCATTCACTCACCCACCCCGCTCACCCAATCGTTCGCTCACTCATTCACTCGCCCACCCACTCACCCAGTCACTCATTCACTCACCCACCCCGCTCGCCCAATCGTTCGCTCACTCATTCACACGCCCACTCACTCACCCGGTCACTCATTCACTCACCTACCCCGCTCGCCCAATCGTTCGCGCACTCATTCACCCACCCACCCACTCAATCGCCCATTCACCCACCTAACCCCCCACTCACGCACCATCTCACTGACTCACTCGCTCACCCCATTCCCACGCACTCATTGAACCGCTCAGCCACCCACTCACCACACTGCAGCTCGCTCCTCTTACTGCTTAGTCCCTGACACCGCTCCACTTTGCAATGCTTCTACTCCCACCACCACCAACATCGTCTCGTCGTCCCGTTCCCCAAGTTCTTACAACAACTTTGCTCAACCCCATCGGTACCTCATTTGCCAGTAAAAAATATGATAATTGGTTTTTTACCCTTTTATCTGGCAACAAAACTGACACCTTTTTTTAGTAGTGCGACTTTTGGCGTCATCTGGTCCAACACCATGTGAGACTAGGCTCTAAGGAAAGCTGTCTCGGGTGTGGACCAATCAACTTCAAGGACAGTGCATACATTATCAGAGTTATGTTTTTTGTTTGCATTATGGCTACAGGTATTGCGGTCTATGCAAACATGACTCCTCGTAAAAAAGGTGTCAGTTTTGTTGCCAGATAAAAGGGTAAAAAAACCAATGATCAACTTTGCTCAACTTAATCAAACGTGTGACACCCCAATCCATCACACCTTCAACAGCGCTGCTTGTTGCTGACCGCTTGGTGTGTTTGGCGGGGGGGGGTGCGTTGGGCACCGTGTGAGCTTATCAATTGTAACTTAAACGAACAAAAAAACCCCATCTAGGATTGGGTTGACGATGGGTTGCTGCTGCTGATGATTCTGCCGCTGATGATGCTGCTGATGATGCTGGTGCTGATGCTGCTGCTGATGATGCTGGTGCTGCTGCTGCTGCTGCTGCTGATGATGATGCTGCTGCTGCTGATGATGATGCTGCTGATGATGATTCTGCTGCTGATGCTGCTGATGCTGCTGATGATGTTGCTGCTGCTGATGATGCTGCTGCTGATGATGCTGGTGCTGCTGATGCTGCTGATGATGATGCTGATGATGATGCTGCTGATGATGCTGCTGATGATGATGATGATGCTGCTGATGATGCTGCTGCTGATGATGCTGCTGATGATGTTGCTGCTGCTGATGCTGATGATGATGCTGCTGATGATGCTGCTGCTGCTGATGATGCTGCTGCTGATGTTGCTGATGATGATGCTGCTGCTGATGATGCTGCTTCTGATTCTGCTGCTGCTGATGATGCTGCTGCTGCTGCTGCTGATGATGCTGCTGCTGATGCTGCTGCTGATGATGATGATGCTGCTGCTGATGATGCTGCTGCTGCTGATGCTGCTGCTAATGATGATGCTGATGCTGCTGCTGCTGATGATGATGCTGCTGCTGCTGATTCTGCTGCTGCTGCTGCTACTGCTGCTGATGCTGCTGCTGATGCTGCTGCTGATAACGCTGCTGCTGCTGATTCTGCTGCTGATGCTGCTGATGATGCTGCTGCCGCTGATGATGATGCTGCTGCTACTGCTGCTGATGATGCTGCTGATGATACTGCTGCTGATGCTGCTGCTGATAACGCTGCTGCTGATGCTGCTGCTGCAGCTGCTGATTCTGCTGCTGATGATGATGATGCTGCTGATGATGCTGCTGCTGATGCTGCTGCCGCTGATGATGATGCTGCTGCTGGAGATGATGATGCTGCCAATGATAAAGATGCTGCTGATGATGATTCTGCTGCTGCTGATGCTGCTGATGATGATTCAGCTGCTGCTGCTGATGCTGATGCTGCTGCTGCTACTGCTGATGCTGCTGATGATGCTGCTGCTGATGCTGCTACTGCTGCTGATGCTGCTGCTGATGATGATGCTGCTGCTGATGATGCTGCTGCTGATGATGCTGCTGCTGATGCTGCTGCTGCTGATTCTGCTGATGCTGCTGCTGCTGCCAATGGCTGCACGGTGCAGGCCTGCACTGGTATAAACACATTCGTCGGAGGCTTAGGCATCTGTTGAACTTCACGGTTCAGTCCGTGTGAACCCAAGAGACGAAAAACCGCCCTCCTCCACAAAGACGTCCCCCCCCACCACCAACCCATCCCACCCCCGGGTCTCACACCATTATCCCAGGCGCCACGATTTAACCTCCCCCTTTGTTCTGCATGGAGTTTGGGATATTCCAATGGGACACGCGGTCACAGGGGGTGTGTGTGGGTGGGTGTGTGGGTGGGTGGGTGTGGGGGCTGCTACGATTTGCAGTGTTCCCACAGCCGCGTTATTGCCATCACCGTTGCTGAGTCATACCCGTTTGTGAGTGGATCAGTCCATTTCTAGATTTGAAGCTTTCGTGACTGCAAGGATTCATATACTCTCTTAGTTCTTTCGGTAAAGTCACGTGGGTAAAAAAATGAATTAAAATTTAATACAAATAAAATAAAAACTCACGACGTTTCGGAGGCAACACAAGTCTCCGTCATCAGGTGGAACCATCACAGCCAGATTTGCTGCATCAAGTGGCTGTGACGGTCCCACCTGATGACGGAGACTTGTGTTGCCTCCGAAACGTCGTGATTTTTATTTAATTTTTTATAAATTTTTATTAATTTTTTTACCTACATGGTGACTTTACCGAAAGAACTAAGAGTATGGATCAGTCCACTTTGCTCATCGTACCCCTCTGGATTCAGGGGTGGGTGGTGGATGTCGTGCCGGGTCGTACCATTCAGCTCAAATTAGGGGGGGGGGGGGGGGTGCAGATGATTGAATTGCAAATGTCCCGACTTTTAATGTGTGTTATGAAGAAGGCCCATTGGCCGAAACGTCGCCTATCGTATGTTATTTTTGACGTTGACGAACGCAGAAGGAAAATAATAAAATAATAAAAATGAAACAGACTCTGTCTTCCCGACAGACCTGTTCTCCACCTGAAGACGGCTGCTTGCGTTGTGGCCGAAACGTCGTGAGAATTATTTTATTATGTTTTATTTTTATTATTTTATTATTTCCCTTCTACGTGACTTTACCGAAAGAACCAAGAAGACAGCAGGCAGTGGTTAAAGTGGCTGTCGAATATTGAGCGGTGGCAATTGGTGGTGGGTCTCCCCTAGGTCGACTCAGCCTGAACATCGCGACGCGTGGTGTTGTTGACGGGTGCTTCAGCGCAATTAACCTCGCACGCATTCTGCGCTCGCTAATGACGCTTTTCCTCTCTTAAGAGACCCGCCATGGGAATGTGGAATTTCCACCACTTCCTCATCGGGCCACCAGACAGAGACGGGCAACATCTCACGCTTGTTTGAGTCTTGATATACTTTGACTTTTTAGCGAGTATAAATCTGAATTGTACGATCGTTCCATACGCAGATAAACTTAATTTCTACTCGCTTTATACTACCCGGCTTCGCCCGGGACTTGGATTCTTATTCATATTCTTAGGTTTTTTCGGTAAAGTCACGTAGGTAAAACATTAAAATTAATAAAAGTAAAATAAAATAAAATTCACGACGTTTCGGAGGCAACACAAGCTTCCGTCTTCAGGTGGAACCGTCACAGCCACGACATTTGTATCAAGTAAATGAGAGATTACAAGAGCTACCACTCCGTTTATATAATGGTTGGAGAGGGGGGGTAAGGGCCAAGTACGGCACACTTTTATTAATATGGTAAGGTGAGGCTTAAGAGGGTGAGCCTTTGTTATGGAGAGGTACGGTTTGTGACTAAGCCTGGCCTACATAACAATAGTGTGAAAAAAGAAACAAGCCTGGCTGTCTATCAATAACCTGTAATAGTTGTCTGTCAAATAAGATTGGCTAAATAAGTGTAGTTAAATCTTTTTTGCATGGTTAATCACATCTTTCCAATGATTACTCAGTTTGTAACCCTCATCACGGTTGAAATTATGTCTGTGTTTGTATATTTGGATGGCTTCGTGTACAAACCTTTGATGGTAGCCAGGAGGTTTGCAGAGAACCTTGGTCTTGTCTTGTATGAATACATCAAAGGGTGGGGGGGGGGGGGTCCGTGACGTCAGCAGGCACACTGCGTGACGTCAGCAGGCACACTGCGTGACGTCAGCAGGCACACTGCGTGACGCTGCCGCCTGCGGGTGACATCACAGATGTGACGTCACCGCTCACTTGCCGTGCAAAATATATCCATTGTTGAGCCCCCCCCCCCCTCCCTTCCCAAAATACAAAAGTGAATTTTTATACTTTTTGCATTGTGTACAGTCTGGAAGCTACCCACATGCCAAATTTCAAGTTTCTTGCATGTCGGGAAGTATGGTTAAACATTTCGAGCAGACACACACATTCACAAATTTCCATTTTTAAATCCTTTATATTAAGTTCGCTTGCTTGCTTGCTTACGACCGTGCAAATCTTTCGGTCGTTTTTTAACCCACTTTTCGTGATCCAATCGAGCTGACATTTTCCACACAGACTCGTTGTGCGTGACAATGAATGTTCGTGAAATTTTTGTTTCCAAAATTTTACACTTTTTAGGACAAAAATATTATATTTAATTACCAATTGCTTAATTATGCAATGCAATCATCTGACCCATAGGTGGCAGCCATCTCAAGCCAGAGGACGAGAGGACTCTAGCCGCCACGCATATAAAGGATTTATAGTGAAAAACTTTGTTTTTACGGGTTATACTTGTTTTATCGATAGATATAAGTAAAAATTCTCATTATTGTTTACGACCATTCTCCACAGGGTTGCCGGGCTCACTCTCCGTGATCGTGTGAGGAGCTCGGTAAGCCGGGACAGGCTCCGAGTCGAGCCACCGGAGCGAGTTCAGGTGGTCCGGTCCACCAGGTAAGGCTGCCACCACCACCACCACTGGTAGACTCTACCTGGAACTGTAGCAGCAGCAGCAGCAAGGTAACACTGGGGGAAGATCCCGGGGCAGGCCCAGGACACAGCTGCCCGCGGTGGGACGATGAGCGAGAGTCTGTGTATAGTGTAGTGTATAGTAGTGTATAGTAGTGTATAGTGTAGTGTATAGTGTATAGTAGTGTATAGTGTAGTGTATAGTAGTGTATAGTGCAGTGTATAGTAGTGTATAGTGTAGTGTATAGTAGTGTATAGTGTAGTGTGTAGTGTAGTGTATAGTGTAGTGTAAAGTGTAGTGTATAGTAGTGTATAGTGTAGTGTATAGTGTAGTGTATAGTGTGTAGTGTAGTGTATAGTGTAGTGTATAGTGTAGTGTGTAGTGTAGTGTATAGTAGTGTATAGTGTAGTGTATAGTGTAGTGTATAGTGTAGTGTATAGTAGTGTATAGTGTAGTGTATAGTGTAGTGTATAGTGTATAGTGTAGTGTAGTTTAGTGTATAGTAGTGTATAGTGTAGTGTATAGTGTAGTGTATAGTGTAGTGTATAGTAGTGTATAGTGTAGTGTAGTGTATAGTGTAGTGTATAGTGTAGTGTATAGTGTAGTGTATAGTGTAGTGTATAGTGTAGTGTATTGTAGTGTATAGTAGTGTATAGTGTAGTGTATAGAAGTGTATAGTGTAGTGTATAGTAGTATATAGTGTAGTATATAGTAGTGTATAGTGTAGTGTATAGTGTAGTGTATTGTAGTGTATAGTAGTGTATAGAGTAGTGTATAGAGTAGTGTATAGAAGTGTATAGTGTAGTGTATAGTGTAGTGTATTGTAGTGTATAGTGTAGTGTATAGTGTAGTGTATAGTGTAGTGTATAGTGTAGTGTATAGTGTAGTGTCTTGTAGTGTATAGTGTAGTGTATAGTGTAGTGTATTGTAGTGTATAGTGTAGTGTATAGTGTAGTGTATAGTGTAGTGTGCGTGTCTCTCTCCGTGGTGAGATGTTAACTACCTCACCTGGTACACAGGAGGGCGTGGGTTCGATCCCGACCCTGAGGCCTGCTGCTGTACATTTGGAGTTTGTGTGTGTCTCTCTCTCCCCGTGGTGAGATGTTAATTACCTCGCCTGGTACACAGGATGTCGTGGGTTCGTACCCGACTCCAACGCCTGCTGCTGTATATTTGGAGTTTGCGTGTCTCTCTCTCTCTCCCCGTGGTCGCGTGGATTTTTCTCCGGGTCCTCCGGTTTTTCCCTCCGCATTTTGAATCCACATCACCACGCGTTCAGAGTTATTGGCTGATATTCATGTCCACACGATGAGCCACTTCTTTGAGACTATCACTTGTGATGGGCAGCTCAGTGGGACATTACCTGGTAAAATAAAACTAGTTTAGTTTGATTAATTTCAGTGTGTTTATTGATTTTACCTTACTGTGTACAATAATGGTACAATATATCCAAAGTTCGTTAAATACCTAAACAAATCTTCTTAGTTCTTTCGGTAAAGTCACGTAGAAGGGGAAAATAATAAATAAATAAAACATAATAAAATAATTCTCACGACGTTTCGGCCACAACGCAAGCAGCCGTCCTCAGGTGAAGAACAGGTCTGTCGGAAAGACAGCGTCTGAATGAAACACCACCAGGCTTGGAAGCGTATATTTAAGCTGGGTTGGAGGGGGAAGAGAGTTGTGGCCGAAACGTCGTGAGAATTATTTTATTGTGTTTTATTTTTATTATTTTATTATCTCCCATCTACGTGACTTTACCGAAAGTACCAAGAAGATGAATCCCTGCAGTCACGAAAGCTTTAAATCGAGATACCTAAACAAAGTTTTGTCGAATGTAGGCATATCGAGGTGTTTACTGCGCAGTATACATTTTTATTTTGTAAACTCGGAATGGAATGCGCCCTGCAACCTCCAAGGGATCAACTCCCGACAGCCGTGCTCGTCCACAGCAACGTGGAATGTCCCTCCTCCCGCCTCCCCAACAACAACCGATGTAGCAGGTGAAGACCTTGAACACGAGAGAGGTGGGAGGGTGGTGGTGGTGGGGGGGAGTGGGCGAGTAAGGAGAGCCCCACCAGCCCTCAAAAAAACAAACTCGCCGTGGCTGAATTTGATGGAAAAACAAACCCACGAATTTTTCGATTTAAAGCTTTCGTGACTGCAGGGATTCATCTTCTTGGTTCTTTCGGTAAAGTCACGTAGAAGGGAAATAAGACAATAATAAAAATAAAACATAATAAAATAATTCTCACGACGTTTCGGCCACAACGCAAGCAGCCGTCCTCAGGTGAAGACCAGGTCACCTGGAGGAGGAGGATGGGGTGGTGATGGGTGGGACGCGTGGTGTGCAGGGAGGAGGAGGAGGGTGGGGTAGTGATGGGTGGGACGAGTGGTGTGTAGGGGGGAGGAGGGGGAGTGGTGATAGGTGGGACGAGTGGTGTGCGGGGAGGAGGAGGAGGATGGGTGGTGATGGGTGGGACGAGTGGTGTGTAGGGGGGAGGAGGAGTGGTGATGGGTGGGACGAGTGGTGTGCAGGGAGCAGGAGGAGGATGGGGTGGTGATGGGTGGGACGAGTGGTGTGTAGGGAGGAGGAGGAGGAGGATGTGGTGGTGATGGGTGGGACGCGTGGTGTGTAGGGAGTAGGAGGAGGATGGGGTGGTTATGATAATGATGGTGGTGGTGGTGATGGTGATGGTAGTGATGGTGATGATGATGGTGGTGATGATGATGGTAGCGATGATAATGGTGATGATGGTGATGATGATGGTAGCGATGATGAGACTGGGAATGTCAGACAAAGTTGCAGGGCACAGCAGGAGGAAGGCAGCGATGGCACATTGGTTGTGATGCCCCAAGATTCTGTTTCAACGTTCGCGGAATGTTCCACGCAACTCCATCCCACAAGCTCACAACTCGCAAGCTTCTCACAGCGAGCAGTGCACCACCCAGTGTGAGACAGCGACCCAGACTCAAGATGCCACACAACCGCCAGACAATCGAGCCAAAGATTGTTGTCTATATAGATATACAATGGAAATGTGTGAATGTGTGTGTCTGTTCGAAATGTTTAGCATACTTCCCGACATGCAATAAAACTTGAAATTTGGCATGCGGGTAGCTTCCACACTGTACACATTGCGGGACCGTGGGTTTCTATGTGGCACCATGGGTCTCTATGTGGGACCACGTGTCTCTATTTGGCACCACGTGTCTCTATTTGGGACCACGTGTCTCTATGTAGAACCATGGTTCTCTATGCGGGATCATGGGTATCTATGCGGGACCTGCACATGTTGAGTTTGCATGTTGCACCTCCCCGTGGTGGTCGCGTGCATTTATCTTCGGGTCCTCCGGTTTTTCCCCCTCCACATTTAGAATCAACGTCACGCGGTTCAAGGTTATTTGGGGGCTGCAATAAATGTCCACGCCATGACGATGACGATGATGATAGCAGTCGCTTTGTCGGGCTGCCACGTGTGATGACCGGGTGGCTTAGAAAACACGGGCTTCAATGCAGCTCAGTGTGCCTTAGCTAGCCTGGTGAAATAAAACACGAAAAACTAGATTTGAAGCTTTCGTGACTGCAAGGATTCATATTCTTAGGTTTTTTTCGGTAAAGTCACGTAGGTAAAAAATTAAAATTAATAAAAGTAAAATAAAATAAAAATCACGACGTTTCGGAGGCAACACAAGCTTCCGTCTTCAGGTGGAACCGTCACAGCACGATTGCTGTTTCAAGTAAGAGAGATTCCAAGAAAACCAGTATATATACAAGGACTGATTTCTTGTAATTTATCTCACTTGATACAGCAATCGTGCTGTGACGGTTCCACCTGAAGACCGAAGTTTGTGTTGCCTCCGAAACGTCGTGATTTTTATTTTCTTTTTATTTTACTTTTATTAATTTGATTGTTTTACATACCTGACTTTACCGAAAAAACCTAAGAATATGAATACAAAAAAAACTGTTCGATAGTTGAGTTGAATCGCTTCGTTTGACACGTAGGCTTTTCGCGAGCAATGTTATTCGTAATAAAGGTTTGTGGGTTTGACGGTGTAAGTGTAAATGTTGCGTCGTAACCCTCCACCGCCCGATACAGCCAGTAAGGTGTGTCACGTAAACATCGCGACAATTAGATACTAGTGTAGTGTATAGTGTAGTGTATAGTGTAGTGTAAAGTGTAGTGTATAGTGTCATGTATAGTGTAGTGTGTAGTGTATAGTGTAGTGTATAGTGTAGTGTATAGTGTAGTGTATAGTGTATAGTGCAGTGTATAGTGTAGTGTATAGTGTAGTGTTTAGTGTAGTGCATGGGGTAGTGTATAGTGTAGTGTATAGTGTAGTGTATAATGTAGTGTATAATGTAGTGTATAGTGTATAGTGTAGTGTATAGTGTAGTGTATAATGTAGTGTATAGTGTAGTGTATAGAGTAGTGTATAATGTAGTGTAGTGTATAGTGTAGTATACTTCAGCCCACCGGTGCGTCGGAGAGCAAACCCACAACATCCACGACTTGAACACGACCTTTCAACGCTAATTACGCCTATCATCATCATCATCCCCCAATTTCTTTTACCAGAACAACTCCGTCCAACACCTTGCGTGTCCGCCCCTGCGTATCTGCGTCTCACTCACGCAGCGCCACGATGGAGCCTCGTGACAGCCACGGACGCGCTCCGGCACAACAAAGACGAGACACGCCACATCACCACCATCACCACCATCACCATCGCCTACTGCCGCTGCTTCTCGTTCTCCTCGTCGCCCTCTGGGTGTGCCCCACCCCGAGCCGCGCCGATATCTTCTGGCACAAGACGCGCGTTCCGCTGGTGCGAGACCTGCGGGTCGTGCCGCTTGATCCGTCGGACTTCGGAGCTCCAGCCACGCCGCGTGCCGCCTGCGGCCCCGTGGCCTCCCTGGCGTGCCGCCCCCCCTCGCCCTGGTGGCAGCAACACCCCGCCGGGCCCGCCGGTGGTGACGGTGGTGGCGCTGTGGATGTCGACTTTCTGCAGCAGCTGCAAGAGCAGTTGTCGTACGAGACGGTGGGTGGGTACGATCGTGAGTGAGTGTGTGTGAGTGTCAGTGTAGCGGTTAGCGCTGCGACACCTGGCGACCCCGGGTTCGTTTCCCCGCTCACGGCCAATATCGGTGACGATTATCTGAACCGGTGCTGGGCCTCCCCTAGGTCGACTCAGCCTCGAATGAGTACCCGGTGCGGTGTGTAAACATTGTGCCACTGGGGAGACAAAGGCGGCCGGGCGTAGTGCTGGCCACCCACCCCCTCGTGTGCCGAGCACCTATGAAGGCCAGAACGGTACACGAGGGGGTGGGTGGCCAGCACCACGCCCGGCCGCCTTTGTCTCCCCCAGTGGCGATGTTTACACACCGAATCAGGTACGCATTTGGGGCTGAGTCGACCTAGGGGAGGCCCAGGACCGGTTCAGATAATCGTGTTGGCCGTGAGCAAGAATCGAACCCGTGTCGTCGGGTTCATAGCGCAGCGTAGCGCTAACCGCTACACAACACACACAGACACACAAACAGACAGCCACACACACAGACACACACACAGACACACAGACACACACACAGACACACACACATCCACACACACAGCCACACAGACACACAGCCACACAGACACACACAGACACACACACAGACACAGCCACACACACAGACACACACAGACACACACACAGACACACATACTCACACACACACAGCCACACACACAGCCACACACACTCACACACACACAGCCACACATACAGACACACACAGCCACACACACACAGCCACACACACAGCCACACACACAGACACACACACAGCCACACACACAGACACACACACACAGACACACACACAGCCACACACACAGCCACACACACAGCCACACACACAGCCACACACAGCCACACAACCACACACACAGACACACACTCACGGTTAAACAGAGAACTGAAGTGACTCAACACGGACCGTGTCGGGTGGTTGGTAGCCACCGTGAGCGCGAATGGAACTCGCTCACCCCCCCCTCCCTCCCCTCCCTCCCCGCAGGTCTACGACAACGGCACCCGCACGCTCACCCAGGTGGCCATCGACGGCCTCGACACCCGCGGCCCGGCCCCGCGTCCACCCCGCCGCCGTCCCCGCCGCCAGATCTACGGCACGGACGGACGCTTCACCATCGCGGCGGACGGCTTCGCCCAGCGGCACCCCTTCTCGGCGGCGGTGCGCCTCTCCACGGGCTGCACGGGCGTGCTGGTGTCGGACCGCCACGTGCTCACGGCCGCGCACTGCGTGCACGACGGCCGCGACTACGTCAAGGGGGCACGTCGGTTGCGCGTCGGCTTCCTCAAGCGGCGCTCGGCGGGGCCGGACGAACGGCGTGGAGGCGGCGGGGGCGGCCGCGGCGGAGGCCGGGAGAAAAAGGGGAAGACCGGCGGCCGCGGCGGGGAAGGCCGCCCCGACCGCTCGCGGCGGCAGCAGCAGCCACTCGACAAGGCGAGCTTCAGGTGGTCGCGCGTGCGTCGCACGCACCTACCCAAGGGTTGGATCCGCCCGGCGCAGTCGCAGTCGCCCGGCGGTAACGTCGCGGGCGCCGGCATGGACTACGACTACGCGGTGGTCGAGTTGAGGCGCCCGCACGACCGTCGCTTCATGGAGTTGGGCGTGAGCCCCCCGGCGGGTCGGTTGCCCGCCGGACGACGCCTCCACTTTTCGGGCTTCGACGACGACCGTCCGGCGAGCCTCGTGTACCGCTTCTGCGCCGTGGCGGAGGAAAGCGCTGAGTTGACGTACCAGCGGTGCGACGCGCGACCAGGATCGAGCGGCTCGGGCGTGTACCTGCGTCTGCGCGATGCCGCTAAGCGTCGCTGGACCCGCAAGGTTGTTGGGGTGTTCTCGGGCCACCAGTGGGTGGAAGTGGGGGGCGAGGCGGGCGAGGCGATGGCCCAAGACTTCAACGTGGCCGTGAGGATCACGGCACTCAAGTTCGCGCAGATTTGCTACTGGGTGAAGGGGAACTACGCCGACTGCAGGGATGGGTGATTGGTGGTGGGGGCGGTGGTGGGCGGTGGTGGTGGTGGGCGATGGGGTGATGGGGAATGGTGTGATGATGATGGTGATGGCCGATGATGGTGATGATGATGGTGATGATGATGGTGATGATGATGGTAATGATGGTGATGATGGTGATGATGAGGATGATGATGGACGATGATGATGCGCGATGATAATGATGGCCGATGATGGTGGTGATGATGGTGATGATGATGATGGTGATGATGATGGTAATGATGGTGATGATGGTGATGATGAGGATGATGATGGACGATGATGATGCGCGATGATAATGATGGCCGATGATGGTGATGATGGGCATGGTGATGATGATGGTGATGATGATGAGCATGGTGATGATGATGGTGATGATGATGGTGATGATGATGGCAATGATGATGGTGATGATGATGGTGATGATGGGCATGGTAATGATGATGGTGATGATGGGCATGGTGATGATGATGGTGATGATGGACATGGTAATGATGATGATGGTGATGATGAGGATGATGGTGAGCGATGATGATGATGGGCGATGATGATGATGGGCGATGATGCTGGACAATGATAATGATGGACGACGATGATGATGATAATGGGCGATGATGATGGTGATGGGCTATGGTTATAGTCGTTGAGGATAATGACGGTGGCCGATGAAGAGGATGATGATGATGATGGGTGAGAGCCGATGGCACAGGTATCGAGATTGGTCGCCCTGGAATTTTTTAAAATGTTTAATTAATCACTGATGAGTACTAAGAGGTCGAGGAGAGGCTGCTGTCTCTGTGTGCGACGAATCGGTGGCGGAGGTCAAGTTGCAGGTCGACTACGAGGTCGACTTGCAGGTTGACTACCAGGTCGACTACGAGGTCGACTTGCAGGTTGACTACGAGGTCAACTTGCAGGTCGACTTGCAGGTCGACTACGAGGTCGACTACGAGGTCGACTACGAGGTCGACTACCAGGTCGACTTGCAGGTCGACTGCGAGGTTGACTACAAGGTCGACTACGAGGTCGACTTGCAGGTCGACTACCAGGTCGACTTGCAGGTCGACTACGAGGTCGACTACAAGGTCGACTTGCAGGTCGACTTGCAAGTCGACTACGAGGTCGACTTGCAGGTCGACTACCAGGTCGACTTGAAGGTCGACTTGAAGGTCGACTACCAGGTCGACTTGCAGGTCGACTACGAGGTCGACTTGAAGGTCGACTACCAGTTGACTTGCAGGTCGACTTGCAGGTCGACTACCAGGTCGACTTGCAGGTCGACTACGAGGTCGACTACGAGGTCGACTTGCAGGTCGACTGCGAGGTCGACTTGCAGGTCGACTACCAGGTCGGCTTGCAGGTCGACTACGAGGTCGACTATGAGGTCGACTTGCACGTCGACTACCAGGTCGACTACCAGGTCGACTTGCAGGTCGACTACCAGGTCGACTACGAGGTCGACTTGCAGGTCGACTACGAGGTCGGCTACAAGGTCGACTACGAGGTCGACTTGCAGGTCGACTACGAGGTCGACTTGCAGGTCGACTACCAGGTCGACTTGCAGGTCGACTTGCAGGTCGACTACGAGGTCGACTTGCAGGTCGACTACGAGGTCGACTACGAGGTCGACTTGCAGGTTGACTACCAGGTCGACTTGCAGGTCGACTACGAGGTCGACTTGCAGGTCGACTACGAGGTCGACTACGAGGTCGACTTGCAGGTTGACTACGAGGTCGACTTGCAGGTTGACTACCAGGTCAACTACCAGGTCGATTACGAGGTCGACTACAAGGTCGACGTGCAGGTCGACTTGCAGGTCGACTACGAGGTCGACTACTAGGTCGACTTGCAGGTCGACTACGAGGTCGACTTGCAGGTCGACTACGAGGTCGACTTGCAGGTCGACTACCAGGTCGACTTGCAGCCGCCGCTGTGCATTTCCGATTCGATCACAAACCCTTGCGTGTTTTTATTTTTTACTTCACACTTGATGTTTTAAGTGCACAGGAAACGTAGCAGAAGTACGTCATTCCTCCAGTCTGCACGCCACTCGTCCCACCCATCACTTCCCAACGTCCCAAGTTGTTCTCGCCCCGTGCTCCTCCACCACCGGTGGACTCACATCCGAGCAAAGGCCCACTGGGTTTCGGTGCCGTTAGCAAATCATCGCAACTCACCCCCCCCCCCCCCCCCAACGTTATCAACGCACTTCTCTCTATTATTGTTGTTATGATTATTCATCTCTCATCTCTCTCTCATCTCTCTGAGTCGTCCTCTTTCTCTATGAGTCGTCCTCTCTCTCTGAGTCGTCCTCTTTCTCTCTATGAGTCGTCCTCTCTCTCTCTGAGTCGTCCTCTTTTTCTCTTTGAGTCGTCCTCTCTCTCTCTGAGTCGTCCTTTGTCTCTATGAGTCGTCCTCTCTCTCTATGAGTCGTTCTCTCTCTTTGAGTCGTCCTCTCTCTCTTTGAGTCGTCCTCTTACTCTCTGAGTCGTCCTCTCTCTCTGAGTCGTCCTCTCTCTCTTTGAGTCGTCCCCTCTCTCTCTGAGTCGTCCTCTCTCTCTGAGTCGTCCTCTCTCTCTGAGTCGTCCTCTCTCTCTCTGAGTCGTCCTCTCTCTTTGAGTCGTCCTCTCTCTCTGAGTCGTCCTCTCTCTCTGAGTCGTCCTCTCTCTCTGAGTCGTCCTCTCTCTCTCTCTCTGAGTCGTCTTCTCTCTCTGAGTCGTCCTCCGTCTCTCTCTGAGTCGTCCTCTCTCTCACTCACTCTCGCTCTGAGTCGTCCTCTCTCTCTGAGTCGTCCTCTCTCTATCTGAGTCGTCCTCTCTCTCACTCACTCTCTCTCTCTCTCGTTCTCCACTCTCCATCCTCACCACGGGTGGTCCAGGAGGTGCAGTAACTCCCGGCTCCGACACGAAAATGCTGTACTCAGCAAAGTGTCAACTCCACCTGTTTCCCATCCGTAACGGGGATACAGCGTTGCCCCCTCGCACACGCGCATTTTCTCCGGATGCTCCGAGGTTTCCGTCCAACGCTCTCATCGTAATCGGCCGATGACACCTTGATACGTAGAAGAGCGCAGAGCTCGGGCAATTGTTGCTGGCGCCGGGTTCTTCACCACCACGTGGCTGCTGCTGCTGGTGCTGCTGGTGCCTACCTCGTCTGATGTTCCTCCTCCTCCCCCTGGCGCCTCTGAGTCGTCCTCTCTCTCTCCCCCCTCCGAATCGCCCCCTCGCTACGAGAGCGAGGAGGGGACGCCGTGCGGGTTGACATCGTTGTTAGGTTTTTTCGGTAAAGTCACGTAGGTAGAAAATTAAAATTAATAAAAGTAAAATAAAAAATAAAATAAAAATCACGACATTTCGGAGGCAACACAAGCTTCCGTCTTCAGGTGGAACAGTTACAGCACGCTCGCTGTATCAATAGGCATTGATACAGCTATCGTCACTTGACACAGCTGTCGTGCTGTGACTGTTCCAACCTGAAGACGGAAACTTGTGTTGCCTCCGAAACGTCGTGATTTTTATTTTATTTTTATTTTACTTAAAAGTAAAATAAAAATAAAATAATATTCTATTATATCATTTTATTTTATTGATTTTATTTTACTTTTTTTAATTTAAATTTTTACCTACGTGACTTTACCGAAAAAAACCTAAGAATATGAATCCTTGCAGTCGCGAAAGCTTCAAATCTAGAGTTGACATCGTTGTCATTAACAAGGGTGCGAACGCCTCCACGGCTGAGCTGCACCACCGACTCAAGGTTTTGTTGGACCAGGCAGGGAATTCGAGAGGCACAGAGAGGATCATGGAGTCGTTCCGCGGGGTTGTCGATGTGACGAACAGCAAACGCGAAATGGGAAACGAACGAAACAGAATAGCAATGTCCCGCTGTGAGCAGCGCACCTTTTGTGCGTCGTTAAAGCTCTCGAGTTGGTGGTCTAGGCAAGGCTGAGAGCGTCGCTCACTCCCAGCGATGTGAGTGGCGCCTTCCTAATTGTTCTGTTGTACGCGAGTAGCAGCAGCAGTAGCAGCAGCAGCAGTAGCAGCAGCAGGAGCAGCAGCAGCAGTAGTAGCAGTAGTAGCAGCAGCAGCAGCAGGAACAGCAGCAGCATCACACCTCTGAACGTTGTTAAAGCTCCCGAGTTGGTGGTCTAGGCAAGGCTGAGAGCGTCTCACAGGGATGGGATCGGCACCTGAGTTTCGCTCATCGTTTAACAGACGACGGGATTTTGGGATTCCTACACGAACCGATTCTCTGCGACCGATCCGGTGTAAATACACGCCACGCGCTTAACCTTCAATCGCTTACTTTAAACCCATTGGCATCGCTTCTCGTCCGCAACGTTACGAAGCCCAAACAAAGTGTCCTTGTTGCTGTGAGAATGATAATAAACAAAAAACAAAAACGAAATGCCGTAATTGCTGATGCCGATGAAGCCGATACTCGTCTCGCGAGCAATTAAGTCATTAGCGTCGGTCGTGTCGCGCGGATATGATGGTGCTAGGAATTGCACTAATTGTGGTGCTTAAATTAAGTGGAGAGAATGGTGTACACACACACGCACAGTGTAGCTTGCACAATGAACACACACACACACACCGTGTACCTTACACAGTGAACACACACACACACACCGTGTACCTTACACAGTGAACACACACACACACCGTGTACCTTACACAGTGAACACACACACACACCGTGTACCTTACACAGTGAACACACACACACACACCGTGTACCTTACACAGTGAACACACACACACACACCGTGTCGCTTACACAGTGAACACACACACACACACCGTGTACCTTACACAGTGAACACACACACCGTGTACCTTACACAGTGAACACACACACACACCGTGTACCTTACACAGTGAACACACACACACACCGTGTACCTTACACAGTGAACACACACACACACCGTGTACCTTACACAGTGAACACACACACACACCGTGTACCTTACACAGTGAACACACACACCGTGTACCTTACACAGTGAACACACACACCGTGTACCTTACACAGTGAACACATACACACCGTGTAGCTTACACAGTGAACACACACACACACCGTGTACCTTACACAGTGAACACACACACCGTGTACCTTACACAGTGAACACACACAACACCGTGTACCTTACACAGTGAACACACACACACAACCGTGTACCTTACACAGTGAACACACACACACACACCGTGTACCTTACACAGTGAACACACACACACACACCGTGTACCTTACACAGTGAACACACACACACACACCGTGTACCTTACACAGTGAACACACACACACACATCGTATACCTTACACAGTGAACACACACACACACACCGTGTAGCTTACACAGTGAACACACACACACACACACCGTGTACCTTACACAGTGAACACACACACACACACACCGTGTACCTTACACAGTGAACACACACACACGCACCGTGTACCTTACACAGTGAACACACACACACACAGTGTACCTTACACAGTGAACACACACACACACCGTGTACCTTACACAGTGAACACACACACACACACCGTGTACCTTACACAGTGAACACACACACACACCGTGTACCTTACACAGTGAACACACACACACACACCGTGTACCTTACACAGTGAACACACACACACACACCGTGCACCTTACACAGTGAACACACACACACACACCGTGTACCTTACACAGTGAACACACACACACACAGTGTACTTTACACAGTGAACACACACACACCGTGTACCTTACACAGTGAACACACACACACACACCGAGTACCTTACACAGTGAACACACACACACCGTGTACCTTACACAGTGAATACACACACACACCGTGTACCTTACACAGTGAACACACACACACCGTGTACCTTACACAGTGAATACACACACACACCGTGTACCTTACACAGTGAACACACACACACCGTGTACCTTACACAGTGAACACACACACACACACCGTGTACCTTACACAGTGAACACACACACACCGTGTACCTTACACAGTGA